AAATGATGTTTTCTTCCAGATTTTATTGTATTTTTTAATATCGTATTCGAAGTTGTTCTGTATGTACGTCGTGCTTAACATGATTTTGTGTGGGTGAACGTTTTGTTGTTGTTTTTGTATCATCCAGAAATGAAGTTGTGGAGGAGTTACGTCCGTCTGGAAGTATTGCCGTGTAAAAGCTAGTATAGGCTGACTGTAAACATGATTGATATTAAACGTACGTGTGCGACTTTAGCTTAAAAACTGGCCCCTTTTTGGTTATCTTGTTCTTCAGTAATGAAAGTATAAAACCTAAAGTAAAGTTGATTTAGGAAGCTGAATGAAACAGAAGGTATGGGGTGTCCAGCGTAACTCGAAACTCGCCTTCTAGCATGCGACGGCTATGTTCTGCGTCGTGACCTGCTCATTTACCGGTAGTTTATTCGCTGTTGATGTTGTGGCGGGTTTCACGTAAAGTTGGACACACCCTGTATAATCCCGTTAAAGTTTGGGTGATAACGAGCCAGAAGGTTTTTACTTTGGCAAAAATACATTTTTCGTACAGACATGTCACACAGTTTGATCATGATGACAGTCATGCTGCTGATGATGATGATTATAGTATACTCTAATCTGCACTTCATGGTTAATATTTAAAAAGTGTCATTGTAAAATCATTACGTTGACATTTTCTCAAAATATACTGTGAAGGAAGTGTTGATAACTTTTAAACATGGATATACGTAATATTTAATAAAATTAGCATATTTTTTATGTAACAGATTTATGATTAAAAGCAGAAGGAAAATCATTCGTCTGGACATTGAAGTCCTGTTCCATTGGACAAAATTAATTACGTACTCAGCGGAACTAATTATTAAGAATTCAGTTATAGTTTCATTTTATAAGAACGTTTTCACAATTATTCTTTAGAAAGATGTAATATAGAAAACATTCACTTAATATGGCCCATTTAAGGTCGATCGAACAATACTTGATATGAGAAATGCGTACAAAATTTTGGTCTGAAAATCGTAAGAGATAACTTGACAGACTTCGACACAGATGGGATATTTTTTTTTTAATGGCTCTGAGTATGTACGCGTGTGAAATGAATTAAACTGGTTCACGAACAGGATTTATCAGCGGGACTTTTTGTGAACGCGTTAAGGAACTTTTCGGGTAATTTCTTCAAAACTCTGTGCGACTCCACTCGCCTCGGCCAAATGGCGAAAAGCTAACAGGCGAGCAGACGTCATATTATAGTAGTGATGGACGGGACTTTGCCGTTTTGAGAATCGTGGTAGGTATTTGAGAAAACAGACACCTTGTTCCCGTTCACCTTGGAGCTATTGGATCCCAGTCTTCGCCGTCTTTTGTTGTAATTGATGAGGAATTTGAGACGATTACACTCGTCAAACGAGCATTTGTCAGTCACGGAGTACATGAGGATAAACGCCTCTGCCCACCGGATGTTCGCTTCGAGGGTGAGACACTCGCTCTCCTGAAACAGAAATTGGCCCTTTGGAGCGAGCGAGCGAGCGAGAGAGAGAGTTAGGAAGGATAGAAAAAGAGTAGAAACAAAGATTAAATGTTTATGATCTGAAGCTTTCGTGGCGAATAAGTATAATAAATTATTTTCGGGCTGTCAGCCGTGTCATGTGGTCGAAAGGCGAAAGAACCATCTACTTCAGTTCCTCTCTGGACGAGGATGGCCCTCGACATATTTTTTACCACCTGAAACGGCTGGTAGCCCGAGAAGAATGTATTATGAAGAGAATATTGTGGTGGAGAGAAAGCATCGCAGAGAATGTTCCCTGGCAATGCCCGTTCGTCCTTCTGGTGACGATAAAGTAAGACGTTAGGAAAAGCTTTATAACAGAGACGCTGGTGGATAACGTTGTTTAAGGAAATAATCCCTGTTTAAAGTACGTGGCATATATAATTACCACTGGTTGTTAAAGGCTTAAAATATTCAAGGTATTTTGGTGACACGAGTTACTTCCGGGAAAGTTTGTCTTGGAGGTAAACAGTTGAACCAATATTTCAATAAGATTTATTTTTAATTAAACATTTGCAGAGGAATCTTTCGAGAAGTTTTAATGATATATGTTTAAAACTCGTTTCTTTTCATTATTAAAACTTTAAACTAGGTCACCTTTGTTTTAATTACCAGAACTCATAATTTTGACTTTGGGCCGTGTTCATAAATACTGTAAGGGGACTGGAGTGGAATGAAAGATGTCACTTAATATCTACGCCTTCATAATTTTTTTCCGTATTGCAATACAGTTAACTTTTGTTTAATAAAATGACGGCACAGAGATGTGCCCTGCATTTCATAAATGAGTTACGGAGTGGAAAATGAGGAAATGACGAAGAACTCATTTAAAGACAGCGAAACAACTGATAAAGTGTAACTGCAAAATTAAAATGAATTATTGTCGGAATGTGATGTTCCTTGTGGGGATAAATATATATATATATATAAAAAAATCTCATCCTACGTTCAGGACAAGGAACTGAAATTTAATCAATGCATTTCTTAATCACCTCAATTTAATTATGATGTTTTTTTTATTAAAATTAAAGCAGTTCGAAGCTAATATTCTGTTACAGACTCCATATTGTACATCGTAAAATTTGTATATTAAGATGTCTGATTTAAATATTTTATCAAGTATCAGACCGCTGGGGAGACCTAGACGTAGATGGGAGGATAATCTCAGGCGGGATCTATGGGAGATAGGAGTTGAAGGAGACTGGATTTTGTTGGCCCAGGACAGGGTCCGGTGGAGGGCTTTGGTTAATTCGGTGATGAACCTTCGAGTTCCGTAAGCCATCTGGTTAGTTAGTTAGTTAATCAGATATTGATTGTTATTGTCCAAGGCGACTAAAATGTCTTACGTGAGGTTGTCCAGCCGTGTCCAGAATCTCGAATAGCACCATCTCGTTGTCCATTACGGTGTGGAATGTGTAAACTTTCTCCAAATTCGGATCATATTCTCCAATATAGCGGCGTGTTATGAACCGAACTACCAACGCTGTAAGAATAAAATTATCAGATAATTGCCATATTTATTATACTTAAACAATAAAACGCGTGTTATGTGCAACGTCTATGTTCCTTAGTAAACCAGGAATTAGCGAGAAAACAGTGGAACAAAGGACAGACAACAAGAGAAAATTTCTTTTCTTATCTCACGGTCCCCTTTTCAGACTCGTTTTACTAAATTAGAGCTGTGTTTTGTTCTTTTCATGTTGAATCACATTTCTGCTTATTCTGTTCTCATGCTGAAACTTCAAGCGAAGATCGCGTGTATCACAGCGGATCGTGTCTCGAGAACTTGCTCGTTTCAAGATTCTATTGTCTCTTAGTTAAATAATGGTCGCGAAATAAAACAGAAGCTACATGAAAAGGTTTTAAATTAATTTAAAAAAAGATCGTCCATTATTTAACCATTTAAAACCCGAAACTCGTGTAAAATAATATTTAAGAATTCAGCCCGTACCGCGAAGAAAACACTACACTTCACCATTACAAAGATCGACAATAATATTTTAAGAATTCAGCCCGTACCGCGAAGAAAACACTACACTTCACCATTACAAAGATCGACAATAATATTTTAAGAATTCAGCCCGTACCGCGAAGAAAACACTACACTTCACCATTACAAAGATCGACAATAATATTTTAAGAATTCAGCCCGTACCGCGAAGAAAACACTACACTTCACCATTACAAAGATCGACAATAATATTTTAAGAATTCAGCCCGTACCGCGAAGAAAACACTACACTTCACCATTACAAAGATCGACAATAATATTTTAAGAATTCAGCCCGTACCGCGAAGAAAACACTACACTTCACCATTACAAAGATCGACAATAATATTTTAAGAATTCAGCCCGTACCGCGAAGAAAACACTACACTTCACCATTACAAAGATCGACAATAATATTTTAAGAATTCAGCCCGTACCGCGAAGAAAACACTACACTTCACCATTACGAAGATCAACTGGTTAACGCTGTTTAAGGAAATAATCGCTGTTTACAACTGAGAATCATACGAAACACATTTATATTCATTGTTGATAAAGGACATTTGAAGTGAATAGGTTTTTCAATCGTGTCACCATTAAAACGGATGACTGAATAATAGCTAATTGTCATAAGGAACCGTTATATCATCGATTTAGCTTGTTTCTGATGCTAGAAGCTTCATTCTGGTACGAGTATACGTTTCTGTGTACGTAATGCTTTCACATGACAACAATGAACAATGCCCAATTCCGGCATCCGAAGTTGTAACAGTCTTGTTAGTACATCGTCCTTAATAACCTTATATCGATCCAAATTAGATCATTAGTACGTTGTCTGGTTTCTACATTG